AAAGTCGCTAGAAACAGCGGAGATCCCAAAAAGTAAACAAAAGTAAAAGTCTAGGGTAACTGTGGGGAAAACGCACCCCTGGGTTAAACGCCTCCCCTAAAAAAATCGTATTTCTTATCGACGGATAGGTGTTTTATCCTGTCTTTCAGAACAGTCAGCTGCTTGTTTACGTAGGTCTCTATTTCCGGTTCTGCGTCTTGAGGAGCAGCGTGGGTAGGTGCTGATGTTGGTTTTGGGTGTTGTTTTTGTTGTTTTTACAGAAGATTCCTAAGATTTTGATGCCCTCTTTATATCACAAAACTTGCTATTGTGCACATCACTTAAAACTGCGTTTTATTGCCATTCTGTTGAATTTATTATTCTGCGGCGTTAGTGGCGCGTTTTTTGTCAATATTTTGTTGACCGGAAATGGAGTGGATGGGGAAAGACGCCTACTCGATGCATGGGGCAAGACGCCCCCAGTTTTCTGAAAGGGGGGCGTTTTGCACGGTGGTGAGAGTGCAGGGTAGCGCCCTGTAGGTGGGTGCCGAAAAGGCCTCTCCCTGTCCTTTTTTGCTGATATATCCTAAACGACTGCAGATATCGTCACCAAACTTTCAGGACTCCTCCGGGCATCCATTTTACACATTGCAACACAATTTTATTCCAAAGGCTATGATAGGTTGACCACAAATGACGTCAGAATGACGTCAAGTTCTGCCATGTTTATCATTTTCTGTTGATGGATGGGGCGGGGGCGCTTTGCACATGGGTGTGGGCGTATTACCCAGGGTATGGGGCAAAACGCCCTTTTGTAAGGGTATGCGAAAACCTTTTTGGGGGGTTAAATACCACACGCAGGTGTCTTTTCTTGGTCTCAAAGCGTAGTAAAAAGAATGAGCTACATGATGGTGCCCAAAGGTTTGAGTAATCTGTGTTGGGTTGAGTGTCAGAAGGTTTCGCGCTTAATGGGGGCGTTTTTGACCTATTCACCCTAATATCTTGAAAACCGGTGAATATTTTTCGGTGAAATTTGGTAGATATTCGTTTTTGCTCTTTCTGAACCGAGCGACATCACTTTCATGCCAATTCATAAACTTTTTGAAGGTGGGAGGGTCCCTTTAACTTAGACACAAGTCACAACCTCAGCTAGGTATTCAGGAAGATGTGTGCAAAGTTTCACTTCCCTAGTTCTTCGCATTGCAACGATATCGTCGCAGAAGTAAGGAAGGGGGGCAACTATATGCCCCCCCCCCCTACCGCGGCCGGCGGGTGGCGCGGAGGCCCGGCGGCCGCCGGGTTAAGTATACTCTCGAGTTAATAAATTCTGTGCTTACTGTGGAAACTTCACGACCCTGACTCAAATAACCTTTGATATGATCTGTGAACTGTTTCACCTGACTATGATAGGCCGAAATAGCGATCGGCATGTGTCAGCGCATACATATAATTATCCGTGCGCTTCCAGTCTTTGTGGTTGAAAAGGGTCCAATATGTGAAATCATGTTTGTCCCCATGGTGGATCCAGGGTGGCATTAGGGGCAAATACCCCCTCCCCGCAGCGCCTGAAATCCACAAAAATTCATGTAGGTATGGTAGGTATTTTTGAGGATAAAACGAAAACAAAACGAATTTTATGGGGAAAAGTTTGTTTTAAACGGCACAACAGTGCGCAAGGAATCGAAATCCGGTGAGTTTTAGCAGTTTTAGGAAGTTGAAGAAACTTGTTTGGCGTCCTGCCGCGGCTGTCGACGCCTACTGGTTGACCTGACGGCTGACCTGACCTGACCCGACCTGGCCTATATGTTTGAATCACATCATCTTCATCAAATTAATCTGATTCGTAACCAGTATAACGCCTTTTGGGGCGACTAACGGAGCGAGCGAGAGGGTGAGCCTTGCACGTGCGAAATTTCGAGGGGGTACCTCCAGCTGACTTGTGCACGGCACCCTACTAACCGGTCTCTAGCAATGTGCCAAATTTGAGCACAATCGGCCCAGCCGTTCTCGAGATCTGGAAGCGGCACTCTGCACGTGCGCACGTGCAAAATGGGTCCCAACTGACTTTTGCACGGCACCCTACTAACCGGTCCCTAACCATGTACCAAATTTGAGCGCCATCGGTCCAGCCGTTCTCGAGATCTGGAATCGACCCCTGCACGTGCGCACGTGCAGCAGCACCCCAACTCTGGCACATGGATATGCATTGCCTAGTGGGTGCCTACCTACATGCCAACTTTCAGCGCAATCGGCCAAGTAGTTACCGAGATATTGCAACAATTACAAAAGTGACACCTCTTCGTTTTGCACGTGGCACGTGCATAAGGGGTCACCCGCATGCATCGGGAATAGTCCAATACTTGGTAGAAGGAATGAAGCTACCCTACAAAAATTACCGCGTGTAAATCGGTCAAGTAGTTGCTGAGATATAAGCGTCGCAAAAGCGTGACCACGGCCGGCCGGCCGGCCGCTCATACTCAGAAATTTCCGTTAATCTAAGGAAAGACTCCGCTCGCTTCGCTCGCTCCGTAATCAGACCCCCATAGACCCCATGGACAAATAAAATTTACGAAGTTCTAGCAGCCAGCAGGTCCCGATTTCCCCGACTTCTGGATCACTGACTTGATCTGGAAGGTCAGCCAAAGACCTTGGACCTTAAAAGTGGGTATCATCAGCTTAATCTCGTCACGGGCAACACGTTCGTCTTTTTCTGCTTAGCTTTACCTCGATCAAGGACTGAGCGGCGGGGGAGGGAGGTGTTTTTCCAGCGTCTAGCGTATAACCCGCGAATTGCTGGGGGGGGGGCGTTAAACGCCCCCACTTTTTTCGCCGGGCCATAGCATAAAAACGGCGCGCCGCAGGCGCGCCAAATTTTAAGTACCTGTAGGGAATCGATTGAAGTTTATTGTGACAAAGTTTCAAAAAAATCATTTGGAAAATTTTTGAGATATCGAGGTTTTAGTGACGTCATGATTTCTGAGTTTTCGACCAAAAACGGCGTAAGTTCAAAAAATCATATAAAATCACAGAATAGATATACAGACATGCCGTGAACGCCATTAGACTGTCAATACCATGAGCAATCTAATGGTTATCTTCGATTTTTGATTATTGTTCCGCATTTTCCAAAATCTTGAACTAAATCTTGGCAATTTCTCGTGACTACTTCACGACCATGATACATGAATTTCTTAAATTGAACTTTTTGAGCCAAACTCGTACACATATGAGAAAAAGAATGTCACCATCGTGTTCTACGCTCAAAATTACCCATAAAACATATGTCACAGGCTGCGAATATCAGTTTTGATTTTCGGGGATATGTGCCTACCTGGTTGACCTGACCTTGACCCTGAACTATGCTTGACTGACCCCTACATGGAGCTGACACTCTTGTAAGCCTTATATGATGGATTGTGCACCGTTTTGACAGAGTTTATGACGAGAGGCGCCCATTGCGAAGTCCTGAAGTTCATGCTACTGAAAGCCCGATTTCTGGTGTTTGACCTGACCTTGACCTGACCTGTGACCTCAAAATTCAACTTTAAAGTATTCATCTGAAGCGTCTCGTCGCGCTCTTTCGTTTGCCGCCTCGTGCGTTTCGCTGCGCCTATTGGTTCTCGAGTTATCGGCTGGGGGCGTTTAACGCCCCCCCCCCCAGCAAACGGTGGGTGGCGAAATACCCCAGCAACTGCCGGGATAAGGGGGGGGGGGGGCAACGGACCCCCTTCCCCTTATACGTTAGACGCTGGCAAAACATCAATTACTGGCGAAGGTTAGAATCACCTTACCTAAGCGCGCTTAGTGTTCACTGTCATTGATCGAGTCACGGTGGTTTCATGCCGCTCCCGATCGGCCATCCGCAACAAATATTGGAACTCCCGTAACGCTCCATCGCGCCCGTTCACCATAGCAGAGGGCCGACTTGCCCATTGACAAAAAGCTACGTTTTTTTTTTTTCAATTAGAAATGTGCTGAGGCGGCCACATTCACAAAGGTATGTATAGTTGACTACAGAATGATGTTCCACTCCTCAGAAGCTATCAGTTGACCGGAGCGCTAAGTTGTGCCGTTTATCACGCAATTAAAAGCGTGTCGATTGTGAGCATTTACAAAGCTATAATTTGTGAACTCAGCCCGTGTGATGCGGCACAGCCTACCACTCCAGGCAAATAATTGCCTGTGAAAAGTGGAGCATCATTCTGTAGTCGACTATACATGATCGATCGATTGGTAGTTTCATTGGATTTATACGGCTTTTACGTCTTCAGAATCATTCAGTTCTGTAGACCGCACAATAAACGTTTTTTTTTTGTAAGTTAGATTTTATTTTATGCATCATCAGGGACGGTTACGACTTACGAGAAGCTTTTATTTATTTCATGCGATAATGCCGCAAAATGATAGGTATTCCGTATTGTTCGTATTGATCGGCGCAAACGCTCGTTTTTCGCGAGCATCAACTAAGTTCGATTATAAATTTACAGCGCTGGCCGCTGACTGGGTGAAAAGTCAAACGGTGAGGGGATTTTGCACATATATGCATATTTTGCAGTAGGTAGTAGGTACCTAACCTACTTCCGTACCTACTTCGGCCGGGACCGGAAGTTGTTTGTGGAGCCCACGGAGTTTTAACACCTTACGTTTACTTCCTTTTCATTCTTCAATATTTCGCCGCCAACCCCTTCGGCTTTCCCGCGACTCGGTATGCTCGTGAAAATTACGGACGGTGCACGTGCCTGATACGTCACAGCTGATCTTCCGAGTCGGATCAGCTGTTGAGGGCGGGGCATAGAGCATACTGCGATGACGTCACACGTGTGGCAGACTTCCAATAAACTTGAATGACTATATTTTTTGATGGCTAAAAATTACAAATTTTATCTTACACACAGATAAATGTATTCTTTATGATGTAGTATGCTCATTTCTTCCCACAGCACCTTCGTTTGAATAAAATAGTTGCCTCCGCCAGCACTACTTTTACGAGCCGAGGGTGCTCGTTCGCCAAATCAAGAGTCACTTTCCTTATTTGTCTCGGTGGGGGTTGGACGCTCTTCTTTCGTGCTCGTGCGGGAGAATTGGATTGTTTGTTTTGGTTATCCACATCCATATTTGTAAATCATTGCAAATGTCAGGTGGAAGGTGTAAAGACAGTGCAACGTGCGTTTCCCTGCTGGGAAAAAAGTGAGTGAGTAAAGCAATGCAGAATTCGAGTGGAGATGGTAACGGCCAAGATTCACAACATTACTCGCTGAACTTTCCTGTGAATCCAAGTTCGGAGTTCTACCACAACTTGACATCCTCAAGTTCGAGTGTGTCCAATATACCAGGTCTTCTGAGACTCGCACCAACCTCCCCAATGGGTATGCCAGTGGTATCCAGTGGAATTCAGACTGTTGCGGGGGCCAGCCATGGTTATGTGGTTCCAGGCAGCAACCCCTTGAAAAGAACTGCCCAAGATGCAGGGTTCTCTGACCAGAGACAGTGTGAGATGCCATCATCTGATGATGATGGCTCCATATCGGACAAATTCTCAATACCCCAAACATCAGTGTCGCCGACTGAGGGCCAGCCAAAGATATCGGATGCCTCGCCAGTGGTGAAGAAAACCAAGGGCAGGGTGAAGATTAAGATGGAGTTCATCGACAACAAGCTAAGAAGATACACTACATTTTCCAAGAGAAAGACTGGAATCATGAAAAAGGTAGGTTCTCTTTTGAAAGCATAAAATTCAAGTATGCGTGAATGATGCGCTCCACATACATTACGATCCTGCTCCAAGGACCTCGAACAAATTTGTATATTGAGGCTTATTAAGATCAAGTTTTGCTTATAATTGGCTAAAATTACTGTCTTGCGTGATAAATGATTCTGATTATGTCACTGAAGTGACTTCCAAAGCAAGCAACAACACCAGCATCATCTAGGTAAACTTTCTCTTCTTGCAAAGGCTTTGTAGGTATGTACCACATTGCTGGGTGAACTATAAATGCAGTGTTATTGTTATTTCATACACTTTTCTCACCAATTTTCTTTAAATCTCTGATACTATGGAATTGTTTTAGTCATCTACGTTTACTCAGTTTTCCTCCATGTTAGCTATCTTTCATAGCCGGCATTCTGGCTAAAATTAATCATTTTATTCAATTATTTTGCAAAAACTTTTGTAAAAGTATACCTAGGTATGTATTTGATTTTACCAAGCTATCCATTCAGCAAAGTCAATTGCTGGATAGCAGTCCAGTTTCATGATGTTATTAGTTGTTTAGTCTGCAGTGCAGTAAATATCACCTATGAAGTGGAGATGTGATGTTTTTGAGAGCATGCACAAATGCTATGAGGCTTGATCATTGTTCCTTTTATTAGCTATGTAATAGCATATGGGCTTGGGTATGCATTGGCTGTTTTTGAGCAATCTAGCACCTTTTGAACAAATTGCAAAGCTGATAACAGCACTTTCATTGAAATGTCTTTTGATATATGGGCAAATGCTGTATAGACTAATGATTTTAAGGCATGGGTACCTATATGAAAACAGCTGAACCATAAGGAACCTTTTAGAACCCACCACCAGCTGACCTATAGGTACCTACCTACTCAGTCACAAGATAAGATAACCCTCTTCTAAAAGCTTCAAGTAATATCATATGGAGTTGGCATGTGTGTTTTTTTTTTTGCAATGCATTTTAGTTGTAGGTATACACATGAGAGCACATTTGTAATGCAGCACTGCATGCTTTCCCTTGTTGGTATGTATGCCTCAAACATGTGGCTGTGCTGCCATAATCACAGTTTTAGGGCCTCGTATAATTGTTTTCCATTTTGGCAATCGGACGAGGGCCGATAGTGTCAATATGGACGATCTGTGGGTCGAGAGACGGCATAGCTCTACCAGAAGATGCAGACTTTTCAATCCCATGTCGGGAAAATCGTCAACCTTCACTTCCACTCCCCAGTGATGCCACCCAGCCATGACCACCTCGTCAGAATAGGAGGAAGATGTGCTAGATTGGTGAGCGTGGTGGTTACTGGTTCGCCTTCCTAGGCCTCCTACTCACATGGCGGATACTCGATGTGACCATGATGAGAAACACCAAGAATGGCAACGTACAGGACTACCGGGAGTCTGAGGTGAATTCGGTCGAAGGCGACAGTTTCAGCCGCAGTCAGAGTCAACATCGCTTTGCTGAATGTCATGCTCCTATTTTGCTTGTCGAACCTTTTCACGTTCGTTTGCTACTGTCGTGTGAAGTGATCCGGATGGCCCAGAACGGGTCGGGTCAGGGCTGGAGATCATGAGGGGTCGTGGGTTCCCGGACCCCTGTGGGCCCACTGAGCACCAAAGTCCCTTGAGTCCCCTCACACTTGCAGTAGTTCCTCTCAGACTAGCAAGTGACTTGCAGAGGCCGGTGTGGCCCCCTGAGGATCTTCCCGGTGACATCGCACGAGAATAGGGCCCTCTGAGATTGGTTTGAGGGTCTTTCAGGGTAGTGTGGGCCCCTGCAATGGTGGACCTTTCAAACTGAGTCCTATAGACTTTCAGACCGATCTCCAGTCGTGGGTCAGATGCTGCCGCTCACGCTGGAGCTCTGGCTTGGTCCTGGGGCGGTCAAACAGCGATGAACCTCAATGTGTCATGAAAATTGCACTCTTTACGTTCCGGCAAAGGAAAGAAGGAATACCATACGCGACTGTCATTTGACAGAGGGGTGTGTAGGGTAAGGCGAGGTAACTTCGTGAAAAAATACAAATCTTCCTCCAGAACCAGCATTTTGCGTTGGTATGGTATGCAAAGGCTGAAGCATGTCTAGCGCGACCATTTCATTGCACACGCTATGGTCCTTCTTAGTTCGATTTATCGTCTGTGGATTTTTCGCAAATTGCATTTTAAAAAAGACGCTTTTGCTCCTAACTTCGTGCTAGGGTCATAACTTCGTGAATTATCATTCGATGATAATAAACAAGCGCTTGTCCTGGGATGCCGCAAAAGCGAGAAGCTTTGCTGAATTTAGCCTCTTCCAACAGCCGTCAGTGCATCTCGCATGTTGTCTTCAGACCATAACTGATACTTTCCCTCCTGGCCCGTGGCTAAGCATAAAATCGTAGCGGGGAGCGTAAAGGCAAATATCTGGCAATGGAAAGTATATATCTTTTAGGAAAGAGTATTATAGTAGGTGACTTTTCAGGAAATGCTTTACCTACTTTTTCATCACGAAGTTAGGTTTCATGAAGTTGAGAACCTGGACAATATTTTTTCATTTGTCAGTATTACAAAGGTTCAGGGCAAGCGAGACAAAAAGGTCGCCCAATGACATACATAACATAGACCTAGCAAACCAAACACCACTTGTTAATTCTCAATTCGGTAAGCTGAGAAAGGCACGCTAGTTTAAATAAACCCAGAAAAAGAAGAATTGACCTCGAAAAATACATTATAGGCTGTACATTTATACCATATACCTAAACAGAAGGAGGGACAACTGTTTACCAAAAAGTCACTCCGCCTACTGCCCGAGCCCCAGAGGATGAGATGGTTGACAGTGCTGCAAGTTTTCAGATTTCTGAGAAATTCCGAATCACGAAGTTGAGGATTTCACGAAGTTACCTCTCCTTACCTATTGTGGCCCCGAATAATGGGTAACTGAGGTTACAGTTTAGCCGCGTTACGACCATTTTAATTCGTATCAGCTTGTCAACTCTGTGGGTTCTTCCGTCATCCGTGGACGATTTCGTATAGCTACCCACAGCGAAAACGTTCTACAGCCTGGTAGAGAAGTACGGGCTTTCAACTCTGGCATATGTGGCTCTCTGGCCATGGCTTGGCGGTTTGAGAAAGACGAGTAACGAAACGATTTGCTGACACGGAAACCGACTCATTTTATGTAAAGCCCATAAACTTTTGTGTTCTTTGGGGCATCAGCGTGGTGTGTCGGTAGTGGTGATCCTTTTGGGTTCACTCAATAGAAGTGATACAATTGAGTACCTAAATGAAAGAAACGCATTTCAGATCGTTGTTGCTCCCCTGGCAGCAGGGCCCACTGTTGCAGGAAGCGCATTGGAAATGCAGCTGCATGTGTGTCGTTGTTCTTGGCTCGTGTTGCTGCCCTCGCTGCCTTTCTAATGGTTCATGTGTTTCATGTCAAGTGCGCAAGATTCATTAGCATTGCGAGCTATTTCGACAGCACGGTAAAGTGCTCGTGAGATGATGTGCACTTGTAATGCAAGGCGTTCATTTGACGTTTCTTGCGGCGTAAGATTAGATACGTTCTACCTACTGTCCGTCAAACGAAGCGAGTTTCGGCGTATCAAAGCCGATAAACTCATTGCTCGAACGCACCCGAAACGTTTAAAATCCTTCGAAATCAGGCGCTGGATATGGGTATGCGCAGGTGGAGTACCTAGCCCGCGATCCTTCCGAAGAGCTGAGAAATAGAGCATTACTCGTATTCCGCTGCTGATTGGCAAACTGAGCTTTGCTTCCGGACTGGTCTCGTCCGACATTTCCGGTCACTTTATAGCACCGAAGACTACCGCGGTTCAGGCGGCCTAAGCCTCCAAATCAGCATTAGCCTGCGGCGGATTGGTTTGAATTTTCGCGTAAACTACCTGGTGCTCGCCAAAATCGAAAATACCTGACGAATTGCCCGAGGCGGATATATCGACACCTTTTTTAAACCCCACATCTGCTCTCCCGTGAATTTCCGTTAGGCACGAAAGATCTCCTTTTAAAAGTGTCCAATCGTCCGATCCTGAGCAAATATGTGTGTGTTCGTAGGCCTGTTCTGGTATTGCTTTATCTGCCAAAACAGACAAACTTGAGAAAAATCGAGTGATTGTACCTTTTTTGAAGGTCTCTAACCAACTTGTCTGAAATTCATCGGAGAACAAATGTGGGGTTTAAAAAAAAGGTGTCGATATCCCGTGTAACCTTAAATTATGATCGTAGGACTGTCAATGCCTGATCAGGCCCGGCTAATTTTGTGGCGCACGACACCAAAGCTGACAGTGGACAACCGTTCGCCAAAGTGTGACCGTTAGCTGAGGCTCGGCATCATCGGCGCTACAGAGCCTGATTCAGACCTCGTATCCGCCTTTAGGTCGTAATGTTTGCAACCGTACTAGAAAATGCAAAGATGTTACCTATAGTCCAGGTTATGGTCCCTTTTGCCGTCTAACTAATGTTTGAAATGTTTGTAGACTTTTTGGACATGTAGGTTCTGGTAAAGCATTGAACATTTGCGATGTATTCTAGCTAGTTGTAACAAGGCAACGCCATAGTTTTCATACCTCAGGATTTGATAGCAATCAGTGTGACAAATGAGTAGCATCGAAACCTTTTTTTTTTGTTGAACAAACCAAACGCTCACATAAAAAAACGCTCATTAGCTTGTTATACATATTGGTATCTAATGCTGTGAACGTAAGTTTGGTGTAGTTTTGCGCCAGATAAGTTCAGTCGTCTCCGTTATAAATTGCAACGAGTGACACGAGACGTAGGAAGGTGCGTGGCACCGCAGTCAACGTGCCCTCAAGTCGTAGCAAACGGGCGTGGGAGATGGGTACGAAATTCACTGAATGGCGGCAGTGTTTCTTCAGCAACACCTGCTCTGACCCTCCATCGTGCTATTAGCTCAGTTTTTCTTTATTCGGGCTTTCTCTTACTTGTTACTCCGTTTATGTTTGTTTTAGTTAAAGCTTAGCACT